TGTGTGTGTGTGTGTGTGTGTGTGTGTGTGTGTGTGTGTGTGTGTGTGTGTGTATGTGTGTGTATACTTTTTGTTTTTATCTAAGTGTACAAATCCATTGCACCAACAAAACTGCATGCAGTTATTTACAGTATATATATTTATAGTACTTGCCTCTGTGATTGTTTCTATTCACAGTGAAGCTTTGATTAGCAGGGCTCCTTGTACTGCCTTGTATTGGTTTGTTCACATCATTAGACACAAGTGTGATCTATTTTGAGTTGCTGTGTTTCAGATCAGGCAGCAGTGCTTTATTTGTGTCTCACTTTTGCTACCTGTGCTTGTGGAACCCATGTGAACCAAAGAGCAAAATGTGTTTTAGTGGTGAAAATAGGTCTGCATGTTGTGTCTAACTGGGTGAACCGTGCTTAGTGTTCTGACAAAAGGGCTGCCATTTTAATAAATGGGTTCAAGGAACTGAGCATTTGGTTCAGACAACAGGATTTAGTGTTTTAGTAACAGAGAAAAACTGTATTATGTCCACTGTAGAGCATGTTGCAGATTAACTGGTTGTCAAAGTTTGAAACTCAGGCATTTTTGTTTGGAAAAAATATGCTATATCAAGAGTGCAAATATATAAAACTGTAAGAGAACAGTGTGAACGATGAAAATATGCTGAGAGGTCCTGCAGGTGCTTGTGTCTGCTAACTCCTAACCCTGACACCCAATAAAATCTTTAGCCTTTTGTCTAAGTTTTGCCAGGAGGTCCTTTAATTTGGCATCAAGTCCTTCGAGTTTTGTTGATTTCTGCAAGATCTCGTCCTGAAGTGCTTGAAGAGAATCTGCTTTTCCTGTAGAAAAAAAGACAAGTGTTAAACATCCCTATCTACAAATGCCATCTCCTTCTACAATTTAAGGCCACGTAAGGACATTTTTAAAGGATTGATAACCAACATACCGTGTAGGTATATTGGTTATCAACATAGGAATAAAAAAGTGATTTACTAAAACATAATTTGGTGATTTTCCAGTAATATGCTGATATTTACAGTTAAATGGTAGAATAGTATGGGACGGTTAGTGGTAAAATCTTTTAGATCAGTGTCAGTATGTATTAGTTTGCTGTGTCAACATGAATATATTAAAACCACAATACCTGCTAGAGACGTCAGCATAGTTTCAGTGGTGTTAGCTAAAGTTCCAGCACTGTCTTTGAGTTTTGCAAGTCGATCTGCAATAAGGCCTGCTTCTCCAGCTGGCGTGGTGGCTCCTTGATCTTTAAGTTGATTGAGTTGTTTCTCCAGAGTCAGCAGGTCCTACAAATACATGTTTAATTTAGCATGCAACAGAACATTCAGTTGAATTTGTCTAAAAAGCTGTTGTGTTCCCAGATTTAAAATAACTGATTAGAAACACCAGTTTGGTGTAACAGAGGACGGTTGGCTGAGTGGTTGGGGGACTGGGGTTGCCATGTCAAACCCTTGCTCTGTCCATCTCAGCCGTTTTGTCCTTGAGTGAGACACTTTACCTTGGTGGTGCCAACTGAATGGCAGCCTCACTTCTGTCAGTTTAACCCAGAATGACAGATAGTGGCGTGAATGCCTTGGAGTCCTTGGACTTGATAAAGCACTGTACAGGTGCATTTACCACTGATAAGAAGCTGTGTGGCTTCTGGGTTCATATTTCTCCATTTGAATCAGAAATCACTGCTGCAAGTATTAGAACTGTCTTCAAAATGTTAAATCAAAGCAGCTAAACTTCTGCTCTATTAGTTAAAGAAGTTTTGCTTCCCCATCAGAAAATGTAATCAAAGATGGAGAGTGTGGTGTTCCAAGCTTTAAAGGGCACAACATGCTGTTTGGAAGCAGCTGAACTCATAAAGATTGAGAGAGGGGGCTGAGATTAATCTGTATGTACATTCAGCTCCAGAAACAGAGACTCTCAGGCAGTTTAAAGACCCTGTCACACTAGACAACTTGTGCCAATATTTTAAAGATGTCTATGTTGAAGCTGGAATTGACAAAATCAACAGGAAGCTTATTTTTGGTGTGTACATAATGTAATTCTAACAAATTGATCAAAAATACAAATTTTATTAGTAATTTGGACAAAAATTTTCATAAGTTGGCACAAGTTGTGTAGTGTGACAAGGCCTTGTTTACATGACAACGATCTATGGAAAGATGTTCACATAGATCCACAGTAGTTTCCAGGTAGGATTGCCACCTCTGTTTAAAGTTGGTCTTTCTTGTTTGACGTCCAAAATATGAACATTTTAGGTCCTCAAACGAGTGTCAGGAGAACAGAGACCAYTTTTCTACAAAGGTCATCTCAGAAGATACTCGGTAATTTCCCCTATAGTTAACACCTTCATGCATGTGACCAAAACATTTCTCTTGTAAGCCAGGCAAACAAAAACACAGCTGTGTGGAACACTGCATCTGCTCGACAGTAAAAACAAACCCTACATTCGCAGGGCGGCGGCATACGCACAGCCAGCCTACAAATTTGACTAGAATCAACCTACAAGATTACATTGCACTAACAGGAAAATGAACGAGCACAACATTCGTATTTTCAAAATAATACACCAAAGACAGACTATATTTAATCAAAATCCTAGTTATAACAATAAAATTATGGGTACATTTATACATATATGTTGTCAAAATATTGTATATGACATACAGTATACTGTATATACAGTACATACAATATGTCAGGAATATCATTCTGTTTGTAAACATGGATTTTATTTTGAAATATGGATTAAAAAAAAGAAAACAGCGATGCAGTTTCAACTGTTGTTTCCAGTCTGTTTTCCACCGAATTAATTATTTTGGTCTGACTTCCARCTTTATCACTAGCTTGATTGCACAATCTTGCATTTCCTGTGCCTGGTTCTCAGAGCACCACTGTGCTGAGCAGAGTGGACACAGTTGAAATCATGGTGGAAATGAATGGCTTGGATTGATGAGTTGCAGATAAGTGCGGCCTTGTATGAAACAGGAAACATCTTTAGGTAACAGAATAGAAGTATTGCTTTGTTGTTGAACTCTTTGAATTTGTGTTTGGTTTACTCTTTGTTTTAGATAACTGAATCTACACCAACACATGTAAGGAATGGTCCCAGATCTCAGAAATGATTTACTAGAGAGCCCCATGTTAATGCTTATATAAACTTCTGACATATTCATGACATTTTCTACRYGGATTATTCTGCAGAAAGSTGTCCTCTGAAAATGCACTTGTCCTTTATGCTGAAGATGATCAGCTTTGCAGGGCTAACTGAGCTCTTGATTGTCACACAATGAAACTTCTGAACCTGTTTCATTGTTATTGTTGTTTAATGCTTACGTCAATGAACTTGTATATTTCTCTGAATAAACAAAATGCATGAAGAGAAGCAGGAGGCGTCTCACCTGATTTGCTGCAGCTGTATCTTCCTCAGCTTTGTCTGCATTTTCCTGTGAATCCTGTGCCTTCTGAAGGCCATTCTTCAGCAGCTCCTTCAGCTCACCCAGTTGGGTTTCCATTGGCTTTATCAGTGTGGACACATCATCCAGAACCTTCTCTGCTGGGCTCAGTTGGTCCTTGACCTGTAATGAGAGCAAATGTTCAGTAAAGCCTAAGAAACAGCATTTTATGTGTTGCTAAATAAAATATCCATGCATCCTACTTGTGTCAGGGTTTTATTCAGGTTTTCTGTGGTATCCATGCTTTCTTGCAGTTTTTTCTCCAGGTCAGAGAGGGCTTCATCAGCTGAGTCTAAGCCTGCATTCAGGTTGGTCACATTAGTCTTCACTCCCAGTGCCTTGTCCCTGGAYTTAAACACCAATAAAAACAGTCTTTTCATTGTGTGCCCTTTCATATGTGTAGATGTTTATAACAGTTTTTTCTGTTGACTATAAAGCCTACGTACATGTAAACAGGTTTATCCTGGATTTAAATTTAAGGCCACATTTACAACTTATTTTATTTATGTCCTACATCTATTTTCTCCGTATGACCAATTTTAATCCATGACTCATTAAATTGAGTCTTATTTTATCTAAATTTATTTACTTTTTGGCCTGACTAAGATATGAACAATGTGTCATAACTGTATTTCCAATGACTACACAGTGTTAGAGCCATCCAGCCATTCTCTGCCTTTCATCTGTGGTCAAGTCACAAAAGGGAAACCCACACCTCGCTCTCCCCAGTAACTCTCTCCAGCTCCACCCAGTGAGCTCAGGGTATTCCCTGGTGTTTCTTTCCAGTGGGCCACACCTGGAAAACCTTCAGAGGTTTGCATCCAAGAAACATCCAAATCAGACCTGGAGCGATCAGCTTACCTTTTTGATGAGAAGGAACTTTTGACCAATCACACAAGTTCTTTTGTGGAGGGGGGTTAAAAGTTTGGCCCTCAGGTTGTGACAAGAACAGGTCGAAATGACTACAAAACAAATAAAATGATGTAATTCTCGTCACGAAACTGCAACAATCTGCTCCGATTTTGGCAGTTCAGCTGGAGCATACTAGGTGCTTCAGATAAACCAGTACATTCAGAGCTTCACATTTTAGCTTGGCTCGTTTTTCACCAAGATAGGTAACCTAATCGCTGCAGAAGAGGTCCTGATTCACCGGTTCATCTTTCAGGTACTTGAACTCCTCCACTCAAGGCAAACATTTAGCTTCAACCCAGAGGAATCACTCCACATTTTTTTGGTTGAGAACTAGGGGTGTAAGAAAATATTGATACACTGAAATATCGCAAATTTTCATTTTCTGATACCTTATCGATTATTAATTAAGGTTTAAAATCTCAACTTTCCAGCCAACGGTTCATTTTTATGTTGTAGTTCAGTCTCTGACTGCTAGTTGGCAGCAGTGAGCCAGCCATTTGGCTCCTCCTCTCCTGTGGAGTCAGAGAGTAAAGCTGGAAACATACTCCCTCTGACGCCGACGAGTCGACGCGCGGTCACGTGGTTGTTCGGCAGTCGTTTTCGCACACACCTTTCATTGCTCCAGAGACACACCACACCGAGCTCCAGGGAAACACCACCCGCTGCAACATACGTCACTGCACGGAGTTTCTTCACGCAACAGCCGACAATGCAGAAAAAAAAGTCAGACTCGTCACTCACCCGACATATTTATCCACATCTGTCCTGGTTAAAGCTCCACAGTTTTTAGCAGTCAGATTCCTCCATGCACAACGTCTGTTTTATCTCCATTCATGAGTTTTTCACAGTTTGACTACCTTTATAAAACTCTGCTTCCTGGTAATAGTCGGCTCTGGGAGCGAGTCTGTCCCACCCCCCCCCCTTTTTTTTTAAACCGAGTGGTTTAAGTAAATGCAGCATCCAATAGCGCTTTCAGCACAAATAAACACGCCATGAATTTTTCTTGGTTTGACTTTATAAAACTCTGCTTCAACAGTCGGCTCTAGGAGCAAGTTTTTTTCCTTTTGAGTGTCAGAGTGCTTTCAGTTTTAGCACAAACAAACACGCCTACGAACTTCAGACCAATCACACATTACCGTCATCGCGGGAGGGGTGTAAAAGTTCTGCCAGCAGGTTGTACCAAAAGGGGCTGCCGAGCCGACGCTGCGGACACRGGTGACGTAATTTTCGTCATGAAACTGCGACAACCTGTGCCGACGTCTGCAGTTTGGAGGGAGTATGTTTCCAGCTTAACGGTAGCATTAGCATTGTGAGTAAACATTAGCATCATGCACTCATAGCTGAATCAGAGCAGGAATGATCGACACCTGCTGCTTTCTAAACTGAGGTAAGGTTACCAACAGTCCCTTTTTAGTCAGAATGTCTGTATTTTAAGCTAAATTGAAGTGTCCAGTTTGGGACGCTCTTTTTCAGACTGTAGTCAGCCGTCACGTTATGGAAGGCAGGCAGGCATGCATCTAGRGCCTCAAGCTAAGGGGGTCCCAGAGGTACGGTACTGATGTGGCCAAATGTGATGACCATTTGAAACAGTGCATTGAAATGACTGGCATTCTTGTGCTACCCCCTTAAGATGCCCCYTGACAGAGACATTATTTTCTGCTGCTCTCAGTGCTGATTGAGTCATTTAGGTTTATCCTGCTGTTTTTGCTTCTAAAAAGTTTTTGTTTTAAGAGACTTAGCTGTGTTGTTTAGCTTCTCCATCTCTTTACTGGTTTGGGGACCATATGACTTCGACCCACTACCGATATGCAAATCACATTCTGGACGCAGGTCAGCTGCTCCCAGAAACTCATATCATKTGTTTATTGAATTTTATGACAACATGTAGGCTATTGTTAAGTGTGTTGGGTGACAGTATTGCTATAGTAAATTAATTTTAAAATGTAAAAGCTGCCACAAATATYTTTTCAAACTATTTATTGGCAAATTTAGTCTAATAATTGAAAACATGGATGGAATAAGAAATATGAAACAAATAAAATGCATACAAATCATACAGTTTTTTTAAATAGAATTTTTGGACAAAAATATTGCAATATATCAGAATACATCGTCTTGCTTACAGTATTGCAATATATCACAATATATCGTATCGTGACCCCTCTGTCATGATATGTATTATATCGCCAAATTTTTGCCAAATGCACAGTCCTATTGAGAACCATGTCCAACAATGTAGAGGAGTTGACTTGAACRTTAAAGCCAGGAGGTTTATTAAGCGATTTTAAAATATGGGATGAATATTTGTTTTCAGAATGTTGTTATGCTATTGAGATTGTGCAAAAACCTGCTGATATCTAATTGGAACCTATAATTTCTTAAGTATCAGATAATTTTCCTGTATTTAGAATGTTAATACCAGCTGCAAATCACCATACAAGTACAGAGCAACGTGTAGCATCTTAACACAACAGTGAGTGTTTTCAGGTCAACAGTTTCACGAGTGTTGGTGTGTGTGGTGGGGGTGGGTGGTTCACACCTGGCATCCTGGGCCTCCTGCAGTAGTTTTCTYGCTGTGTCTAGCTGGGGTTCAGCCTCCTTTAGCACAGCCGTGCTGTTTGGTAAATTTGCTGCCAGATTCTTTAGTTCCTCTAGTTTCATCTTCAGTGTATCCGGGCTGAGGGGTACTTTGGCCTTCAGGATCCAGTCACTTATCTCCTGTATCTGGGTCAGGTTGGAGGTTGGGTCTACACACCAGGACATTGGTAAGAGTTAGAGCAAAGTGACCAAAGACAGTTTTTCACAAATCGATCTACAGAGGGAACCTCTTAAACTTTCCATACTTGACAAGAAGTCTTTGAGTTCCTTCACAAACGTGCGTGTGTCATTTAAATCTTCTTCAAGCTGATCTCTGGCTTTCTTTAGTTTGTTGGACAGGTCCATTGCTGACTGCCGAATTTCATTCGTTGTCTCTTGTGTCTTTTGAAGCTGCAAAAAAATTAAATTAAAATAATGGTTTAGTATCTGTAAAATGTTAAATAAWCTTATAATAATATTTTTGCTTTACCAATACATAATGCAACCTAATGTGTACTGGGTAATTAGCTGGTATGTACAGGCACATACCTGGTACTTGCAGAATACATATCTGGTACTCTGGTGTGTACTAGGTACTTACTGTATATTTACAACCCCAAATCCACTGAAGTTGGGACGTTGTGTAAATAAATAAAAGCACAATACAATGATCCTCCTCAACCTATATTCAACTGAATACACTACAAAGACAATATATTTAATGTCCAAATGGATAAACTTCATTGTTTTTTACTGCAAATWTTCACTCATTTTGAATTTAAAGCTGCAACATGTTCCAAAAAAGTTGGGACAGGGTCATGTTTCCCACTGTGTCCATCCTCTTTCCTTTTAACAACACTCAATAAGTGTTTGTGAACTGAGGACACTGATTGTTGAAGCTCTGTAGCTGATTTTTTTTCTAGTTTTGCTTGATGAACAACTTCAGTTGCTCAACAGTTCGGGGTCTCTGTTGTTGTATTTTGTGCTTCATAATGCTCCTGTAGGGGTCACCTCGAGTGAAATAATCAGGGAAACTGTCTTGGACCTTTAAAGGGACTTTGATGGGCCTTTAAAGGGACAAGAACTCTGTTCCACTTAGAGCTGAATTTAGGCCACCTCAGGTCGCCTTAACCTGTAAAAGAGACATTCTTTTTTTCTTAATCAGATAATAAACAGAATAATCTTCTTTTTTATTTRATTTATTTTTCTCTTAACTGAAAGTTATTACGCATTTTGATAATCAGAGAATGTTTATCAAAGTTACAGGAGAAAAGAGGACAGATCTCTTTCCTCCCTCAGCATGATTTCAGCTATGTACGTATGGATTTTCTGTGGAAATATCTTACTTAACTTAATTAATCATTGTGGTTTAAGTTTGATTAAACATCGATGTTTATTTGTCTGAATCACACTTAAAATGTTTTGAGTTTGAAGTAATTCATTTTTTCATTTATGTTTTTAAAGAGTTCTCATCAGAAAATAACTAAACAGGTCATGACATGTTTTGTTTCTGAACTACACAGAAGCAATAATCTTTGTTTAGCTTCAGGAAGTGACGGCAAGTCTCTGAACTAACATTTTCCCTAATATCTTCCTCTTCTAATCTAACCTCTGAAGGCAGAACTAAGAAAACTCTATTTAAATGACTAACACAGTTTCTGCCTGGGAGTCAGAGAGAGAAGGACCTCCTTGCCGTCCACAACACAACGGCTGGGGTCTCTCCAGAGAACCAGAGCTTAAGCTGTGTCAGTTCTACCCTTCATTGCCAACGGGGAACCACACAGCCGGATATGACCAACGCCTGGCGAATCCAAAATATGAGCGTAAAGCTCAGAGCAACTTATTTGGCTTCACCTTTCTTCCRATGGCTTGACACGGATGTATGCTGATGCTGAGATCCTAAGGTCTCTGAGGAAGAACCGCCRGTCCTCAGACATCCTGATTAACTTTTACCACTGCACCATTGAGAGCATCCTGACCAACTGCATCACAGTCTGGTACGAGAACTGCTCGGCATCAGACCGGAAGGCGCTTACAAAGGGTGGTGAAAGCCGCCCAGCGCATCATCGGAGCACCACTTCCGGCCATAGAGGACATCTACAAGAAGCGGTGTCTGAAAAAGGCTGGGAAAATCATCAAAGACTCCAGTCACCCAGCTCACGGACTATTGACCCTCCTGCCCTCTAGGAGGTGCTACAGGAGCCTCCAGACTAAGGCCATCAGGTAACGGAAAAGCTTCTTTCCTACAGCTGTTACACTCCTGAACTCTACCTCCTGACATCAGCACAATACCCATGGACCTAACAACACTACCTGCACTGTTTTGCTCAACACTGTATAAATAATCTACTCATAAATAACCTAACTCACTGTTCCTCTGCGAAAAGTGTTATTTCAGGCAACTTTTCGTCTGTTTCGATCCACGCCAGAAAGATTAAAGCTGATGCATCCGGTTCCTCCTTTCAAAATAAAATCTCCCCTTGGGAGTTGAACACACTTGGGAGGCTTGGAGCCTCGGGTTGGACAGTCGGCGGCGTGCCGCTGTCCCGGCCGCTAGATCTCCCTAATTGGCTTATAGGCAAGACCTAACGGACCAAACTGGTTTCTCCGGGGAGAAACTCAGCCTTCCTTCCCAGTTTGGCATCCAGGAAGAAGTGTTCCGTCACTCAAAGACGTCCGTGTTAGTAATAGAAGCGGACGACTTTGGTTCCGCCCTCAGGCTTAAGATGAGTCAGAGGGAAAGAAGAAAGATAAGACTTGCCAGCCAGGTGCCAGCCAAGGTTAAATTCTGTGGTTGTTCACGACAGAATATGATAACATTTCTTTTCAACTTTTCTTCTGGTAGACTCTAAGAAAAATCACTGAAAAACATTTATGATGATTAATTAACATTTCTGTTTAAGTAATCAGTCTGAACCATTTGTTAGTCCAGATAAATGAAAGATTTTCTCAAGAAAACCCACAATTATATAACTGTGTTCACAGTAAAATAAAAACAGTGATTTATATAAAAACACAATGAAAACATGGTAATGATTTTCTCTGTGATTTTTTTATACCATTAATTAATCTTTTAGGCACGATAAAAGAGTAGAAGTGGTTCCACTTTTCTTGTGACAGTCATTATATGATTTCACAAATGCATAAACATTCTTAGTTAAACAACAAATGAATCACGAACAGAAAAGATTGTTCTGTCCATTATCTGATTAAGGGAACTGAGAAATTCTCCTAGGGTTGAAATGACCTGTCATGGCCTAAATAGAGTTCAGTTTGTGACAGAGTTCCTGCCTTCTCAGTAGGCCTGTCCGAGGCCTGCTTCGAGGCAGTAAATCTTGTTTCTTCACTCGAGGTGACCCCTACAGGAGGGTTCAGTGTCTTGCCCAGGGACACTTTGGCATGTGACTGAATAGCTGTGGAATTGAACCACCAACTCCCTGGTTAGAAGACGATTCCCTTTACCACTTAGCCACAGCTGCCACCAATTACAAGCATGTACTCTGTAAGTATTACGTATTCAGCAAATATGTATGTGCTCATTTAGCAGCATGTCATCAATAAAGYTTAAGAGCGTACCATCTCTGCTGCGTCCGTCATCTTCACGTTGAGCTTATCCAGTCGATCCTTCACATTGTTGACGTCAGCAAATGCCTTGTTGCTCAAAGGCAAAGCACCAACACAGTTTTTTCCCGTTTTGCAAGGAGGAGTTCCCTCTGGTGGGCATAAAGCCCCTGCCTCACACTCAAGAGGAGTACAAGGCTCTGATCGAACACTTCCACACACCTGAAAAAAGAAGTCTGAAATTATTTACACAGTCGTGCTATCAAACACAAAGTATGAACTTGTTAAATTATCAAGACACAAGGAATGACGAACAAACAGCAGATCTGGMTGAGCTCTCTTTTTACTTGCTGCAAGGAATTCATATACAGACACGGTACAATACATACTATGTCAAGAACATGAACTGAATTTCTGGTTAGTCAGATTAAGTTTTTGCTCCCCAGAAGATGACTACTCTTGACTAAACATCAACTTTTTATGTCAGTGTTAAAGCAAAGTCTCTGAATAGCAGAAGAGGTGACGGCAGCACAGAGACATGTTTAGACATAGTGTAGTTAAAAAAACTGAATTACTGTGGCCGTTTAAACTGATAGCAAATTAGACTACGTTAAAACTCATTTAGACTGCCTATATCCACAATAAAAAAAATTTTCATCAAAACTCTAGGTAGCTAGAGTTTGTGACCACAGGTGAGGGTGGGAACATAGACAGACTGGTAAATGGAGAGCTTTGCCTTGCAGCTCAGATCCCTCTGGACCACAACAGACCAGCAACACTGATGAAGCTGCACTGATCCATGTGTTAATCTCATGTCCCGTTCTTCCCTCAGTCATGAACTAAATGCCAAAAATACCCAAACTCCTCCACTAGAGGAAGCACTTCACCCCTAACCTGGAGAGGSTAGTCCACCCTTTTCTGTCTGAGTACCATGACCTCAGATCTGAAGGAGCTGATCCTCGTCCCAGCTACTTCACACTTGGCTGTAAATACTGGTTATCTTTTAAAGTCAATCTAATTAAATACAGCAACCAAAGGACAATGACATTAGGAAACACAAAAATGGCTATTTAATGTTTAATGTTTGACACCAGCTAAACTACTTTTTGTGTYGTGACAGCTAAGAGTCATTCCCAACACATTCTCTGAGCACTAAGACATCCCAGGAGATCTCACAGTACTGCATGAGATCCTGCATAAGGTTGGACTGAAACAGATACAACTCCATCCCTTACAACATTTAATGATTTCAGTTTAAACCTATGGTATTAAAGGTAGTAGACAATATTGCTTCCTTCAAGGGATGGTAAGCCTTTAATTTATTGTTTTTGTAGATTTAGAGTTAGTTATGAAACAAAAGTAAAAGCTGTATCTTTTTTTAATCAGATTTTTTTTGAAGAAGAAAAAGAAAGAAGAAAAAAGTGAAATGTAATGGGAAAGAGTGAAAGAGAGTTTAGAAGATATGTGAAATATATAACAAGAA